GGAAATGAAGATTGAGAAAGCAAATGAAAAGGAGAATAAAGCTATTAAGTGATTAAAATGAAGATTTGTATACATTGATGACTACTTTCATGTATGTTGTGTTTAAAATACACTTTGTTTTTAAGGATGGATAATGAAGGTTCTTGTAGTTTTGCAATCCTTACCAGGACACTCTTTACAGTTGTTACTTTTAAGTGAGCGGGAAGTACAGAAGAGTAAATATACATTTAAATACAGGCATTTCCACTGGCATACATTGCCAGTAGCCATGTGCTGTGGGTGACACTGGTCACAAGGCACTGCCAACTGATTCATGTTCAAGTAGGAGTTTTCTTCCATGTATTCTGGATCTTGCACACTATTTCAGGTTCTCAAAGTTAGTTTTGAACTGGTTTGTTGGGCATGTATTTGGCATTCTAAATTAAATCCTTTCCCCTTCACCTCTATAATTAATGTTACTAGTTCCATAAATTCCAGTTAATCTGGATGTCCCAGAGCTATCAAGTGTTCCCAATTTAAGTAGGAAACTCAGCCATGGCTCCTGTTAACTTTGTAGTAAATACAGTGTTTTGAACAACATGCCTATAATTGCAAGACTGCACAGATTTCATCCTATACCACGATTCCTTCCAGCAACATGATGACTCACAAAATGATTTTTTTGGTGTAATTTTCATTACCTGTTATTGTATTTGCTTTGATTTTTAGTACAAATGGAGACAGATTAATAATGCTTCCCCTTCAGAGTCTACAAAAGGTTCTCTGAAATGTCAGTTGTGGAGGCTGTTGCCTTATTAGCAAAGGACCTCTTCCCATAAGCACTAGAAAGAGCAGGATGTCCCCTTGCAATAATTGGTGTGCAAACACAGAAGAGGGGCTGAACGGTGTACTTGGGTCAGCAGGAGGTGGCACTGATGCAAGATTCCTAGCTTTAGCAATTTTCTTTAGTCTGTTTTTTGAAAAACAATGATTGCCTTAGGTTTGTGGCAGCATAGAATACTGTGCTTGAATTTGAAGGGTTTACAGTCAATCTGGTGATTTTGTCCAAACCGTGACATCAGTAGTCCTGCAAAAGTAACTTCATTAGCACAAGCCCATCCAGATACAGTCTAGGTTTTGTTGCCTTTAAAGCTGTGCAACTTATACCCAGAATATCAAACCTCTGAGTTTGAATTTAAGGTCTCTTTGTGAGGGAAGAAGAGATCAGTGAGTTGTTCTGAAGCTGTCTTTAGTTGTTGTCAGCAGTATTTTGATTGAATTCAAGTAATTCTTGGTATTTCTCAGTCACTTTTTTTCCCCACTGGCTTTTTTTTTTTCTTCCAACAGCATTGCTTTAGTTAAAACATTAAAAAGGCACCCTTACTTTCCTACGAATGGGTTGTGTTGAAAGGATAATTTATTTTAGATGACTTCTGTATCAGAGTTCGTGCACGTATTTGACAGACCTACAAAGTTTTACATAGAAAAGGTGAGGTGTAGAGACTGAGACCAGCAAGTTGTAAAAGGTCAATGAAAAGTGCATTCTTGGTTGAGTTCAAGGAGTCAGTCCAAAAGTAGTTTCAAATGGCTGCAGTCTTGTGAGAATAGAAAGGAACAGGTAGAAAGATACAAATTGCCAGAGAAAGGAGATCTGCCAAGCAAAAAGCTTAACATCCTCATGCTGGAATCTGACGGAGTTGGGAACAGGTCTGGGCTTCCAGCAGAGGGACTGGGAAGGCCTAGGGGGAGATAAGGAGCCACACACACAAGGGTCCAATGTATACATCCTGGATTTTACAACACAAATAGCGCCTTGTTATTCCATGTTGTACAGGTGGATGACAAGAGGAGAGTAAGGCAAATGTTGACTGCAGCAGGACACCACAGATGGCAACCGACATACTGCAGATAAAATCTAGCACCAGCCTAGCATATTTGAATGCATCATGTAAAGCATCTCCACAAGGTAAGTTTAACTCCCAAAGAAAATGTGTGTTGGGTATGGTTTTTGCAAAGGCAACTGCAAAATAAGTAGGAATCAGACAAGATTCAATGCAAGTTTCTGTACAAGATTTAAAACTTGTTAGTGTTCAGTAAGAGCCCTGTCCTCATCCAAGCTGCTGCTGTCTGCTCAGTTTACCCTCCAGGGACACTATTTAGCATTTGTATACCAAACTACTTCACAAATAAGACTAGCTTGTATTTCACCTAAAAGTAATCACATTGTCTAATAGTTTGTTTTCAACAGCCTGAGCTGGTCATTGTAAGCTGTAGGACTTTGGTTGTAGTTTCTTTGCCAAGCTGTGAGGCAGTTTATTATCTGTTTATAGAAATTCTGAGCTGCTGATTGCTAGATCCACATAATAATAATCTTTTTTTCATATATAGCTTCATTAGTTTCACAGCTGGGACACTGTTATACAGGTACCGAGCCATTCTAGCATAACCATTTTCATGCAGTATTGTCTTTGTTCAAATCTATGTTGTGGTTCAAACAGGCAGACAGCTAAACCGTGCAGACATTTGTTCACATCCCCTCCACATGCATCCTGCTGTGGGCTGGAGAAGAAAAACAGAAAGTGCAAGAGCTCACAGGTTGAGATAAGTACAGTTTAGTAAAGAAGAGAGAAGAAAGGAAAAGTAACAACTATTCCACTGCTAGTGTGAGTCAGTTGTCCTAGTTCTGTCCCTTTCTAGCTCCTTGCTGGCACGGTGGTATGAGAAGCTGAAAAGTCCTTGACAGACTTCATGCAAACACAGCTCAGCAACCAAAATGTCAGTGTGTTATCAACATTGTTCTCATCCTAACTCCAAAACACAGCACTATACGAGCTAATAGGAAGAAAATTATCCTAGCCATAACCAAGACACGTTTTCAGATTTGAATGAATAGGTAGTCCAGTAATGAGGAATTGACTCTCTGAGAAGTTAATCATCAACTGCAGTATCAACAACGCAGGAATCCAAATTTCCTTTTTTCCACCATACAAATGGCATTTCACTTATGTAGTATATGTCCTGCAGGGCAAGCAGTGATGTGAGTAGGATGATAATTTAGATTTCACAGTAAAAACACATTGCACATCTCTGTAGAACCCAGTTCAATCACTGAGCAAGATGATGAGACCATGAGGACTGTACGTGCCGCCTGTTGGATCAAAGTGCATGGCGTTTAACTAAAATATTGCCCTCAGTTTGAGAGACTTCTCAGGGTTAGCCTGTTTGTAACACGTTCATTATTGCATTAAGGAATCTATTCTAGTGTAGGTCAAGTGGCTTTCTGGTGAATACCTTAATCTAATACCACCATTAATCTTCTCAGATAAGCCTACAACATATTGGGTATGTTATTCTCTTTATTAGGTAAGAGCAAAAAAATGCAGGTAAGGTTCAAGGCAATTCATTTCTGCATAGTTCTTATTCAACTGAAGCCATATGTTACTGACTGAAGCCTGCACAAGTGTTTTATATTCACTGGCAGTGCACATGGACAGAACTTAGCTTTCTGCTAGCACATGGTAAACACAGTCATAATTAAAGAGGATAAATAGTTGTTACGAATAAGCAGTAGCTGCTTTGATGAAATGAGTCTCATGCTAATACTTTTTAAACCTAAGTTATGCTAAATAGGTCCTAAGCCTTTTAAATTCATGTAGTAAATGATTAAGTCCCATTTTAGTTGTCAGTTGAGAGTTCAGGAGCAGTGTGTACACTTCTACCTATTTAAGATCACTGAAGTAGCAGCAATCAGCTCCTGAACTGTCAGCTCATTCCTCCCCCTTAGTGCCCAGTCACTAGTGACCCCACATACCTTCCAGACCCTACAACACTTCTCACACTGAAGGAGGTGCTTTTCATCCTAGGCAAGCAGTAAGCAAAAAAAAAAAAATGCAGCAAGTCTTGAATTCAACTCTCACCCCCATTTCCTACCTTATTCTCAGGTAGCAAAGGTCTCTTGAGGAAGGAAAGCAAACTTCCTCGCCTGAATCTTCAGGTTGTTCAAGACAACCAGCAAGCAAAGATAATGTTGTTATCTGAAGTAACTAACTTGCAGAACAAGTTGCTCTCATATATAT